TCTACCACTGAGCCACCTTCCCAGCCCCAACATACTGGAACTTGAAGTAATCCCCCCACCAGGGCCTCAGTTTCCCCATATGTGCAATAGTTTTCTTTTTTGGTGGGATCTGGATAAACAGTACACTGTTTTTCCTACCGACTCCCCCCCGTAAAAAAAAATTGCATGGATAAACACTCTACAAGTTGCTTGACAAAACAGCATCTTTTGCCACATGCTGAGGGCTCGCCTGTAATCCTAGCCACTGTGGAGGCTGAGATCTGAGGATTGCAATTTGAAGCCAGCTGGGAAAGAATAGTCCAGTCAACCAGCAAAAAAGCTGCACTGGGTGCGTGGCCCGAGTGGAAGAGCACCAGCATCTTCCATTGCTTAGGGAAGGACTCAAGGAACTTTGCTCCTGGGTTTCCATTTTTCCCTGCCACAGGAGGAAGATACTTGGCTGGAAGGATCCTAGGTTAGGGGTCTGTATGGTCTCCTAGTTATAGACTGTCTACAATGGCCATCACTGTTATGAGACAGTTCCTTAGAGCCAGTATAGGGCTCAGAAGACTGGCCAGAGGCCTCCCTGCCTGTAGAGAATGATGGAAGAACACGTTTAGAAGCTCTCCGTTTTCCAGATCCATTTGTCTAAGCCTGGGTGTGAACCCATCCCTAAAGACAGTTCCCGCAGGTTCCTGAGGAGCTGGGCTGTGCGCCTGCGTAGATGGGTGCTTCATTGGCAAACTTCACTTCAGCCAAACTGGGTGGGCTTCCCTCCGAGATTCTAGGAAGAAGCAGGCTTGTGGCTGTGTGTAGGCCTCACCTCGCCAAACCATGAAGGAGCCAACCCCCACGGGCGAGGTGGGCAAGCTCAGAGCCAAACACACGCCGGGCCAAGAGGGAAAGGAGTGGAGACACATTTCTCATCGGCTCAGATAAGAGGATCCCCGTGCTTTATTCCCAAAGCAATATCAGAATCTCCACCCCCACCCTGACAGAGCAAGAGGGAGGATGGGATTGTTTTCTTCTTAACTTTGTTTATAGAGAAAAGCACTTTAAGGGCAGGCATATTGCCCAACGTGCTGAGTTCAACACGGAAAGATGGTAGACAGATTTGGGGGCATCACTAGCTCAAGGTCAGCATTGAGCCATGTTTGAAAGGTTAAAATGGCGGACAGGAACACCTCTGGGCATGCTCAGCTCGCCTCATAAAGATGGTGGATAAGAATGTCTCTGGTTGGGGG